CATTCAGTATTATTGAAGTGGAGGTAAATCTCAGAGCTTTTGGGGATTTCTCATGCTGCAATGGTTTCTCTGGTTCACTCAAAGCAGCATATGACAGAGTCCAAGGATGTCACTAAGCTCAGCAAGGGCAAGACTGCTGGGATCCAGCTCTGACCTCCCCATGAAACATGGCTCTGTGTCCACAAAAATAGGATGTATGAGCATCAAAGGCACACTGCTCTGCTAGCTAAAGAGATTACAAACCCCACCCCCCAAAAAGCTCCTTTCTCAGGTAAAAAGAAGTATGGAAGGGGAAAAAATTAACATACACTTATCTACAGATGTTGAAATATCAATGTAATCCCTACTTTAAAAATTCTAACTAGAGTCAGCTGGTCATTTCTGATTACACCTTAAAGATGCTGCCAGATTCGATTTCTGTTGACTTTATCATTAGACCCTTCTAGTTAAAAATTATTAACTTTATTCCTGAATAGCTTAACCACTAGTACGACTGCAGTGTATAATCTCCCAGAGTTATCAAGCACAGAAGAGGAAAAAATAGATGGTCAAGCAGCAGGCAGCGATTACGGCCCTTGCACACAGAGGCATCTGAGTGGCTACTGAATAATCCCTGGATAACTGTAAAAACAAGAAAATTCATGCATGTTAGTAAATATGCTATAATTTTCACAGTTGAAATTTCCTTAGACATTAGAAGGGAATCCTGATTTTTCTTAATGTTACGGTGAGTCAGGACTTGAACTAGCAGCCTTCTTTTTCTTCTTCTTACTATGTTTCTTATGCTTCTTTTTCTTTTTTGTTTTTTCTGTTGTTTTTTCTCTTTCTTCACTGCTTTTCTTCTTTTTTGCTCGTACCTCCTCTATATAATCTGCTTCTGAGAAAGACTCAGATGATAAAGTTTTGTCTTCAAGATACACCTTTCTTTTTCTGCTGAGACCTTTAACATCCTTTTCCTTCTCAGTTGCATCCTTTGACTTCTTTTTCTTCTTTAAACTATCCTTACTGTCTGATTCAGTTTCTGACATGGAGCTTTCAGAAGATTTATGTAAACGATTCTTCTTTTTCTTTCTCCTTTTTCCTTGTTTCTTATCCTCATCTTCAGAATCCGAAGAACTGCTGGAAGAATCAGAGCTTGATGAAGAAGAAGAGGAATACCTACCAGATTTCTTCTTTTCTTTTTTCTTTCTCTGTCTTTTTTTGGATGAGCTCTCACTTCCACTTAACAATTTCTCCCTGTGTTTTTCTAGTTCTTTCTTCCAGTTCTCATTCATTTTTTTCTTCAAATTCAGCCAAAGCCTTAGAGCTTTTCTTTTTCTTTTCTAGTTGCTCTTTCACTTCTTCCCAGGTAGGCCTTGGTCGATTCAGATAATCCTGGATCGTTGGCCCTGAAGACTGGATTGGACCCCTTGATCTGGCCATTGCTATTAGGTTCATGTAGGCCACCCGATTGTCCCGCTTCCCCATGGTGCCCGGCTGAGCGCACAGTCCCAACCCAAGGGAGACCAGGCTGCACCGGAGGCCGCGCTGGTCATCTTTAAAAAAAAAAAAAAAAAGTATTGCATAGGGTTCAGAATCACCAACACAATTTTGAGGAAGGACAATAGGCAGGCAGTGGTTTTCACAGACATCAAGATTATAAAGCTGTGATGACAGTAGTGTTTTGATATAGAAATAAAAAATTGACTAATGGAAATGGCTAGTAAACATGTGAAAAGGTCCTCACTGTTAGCAACTGTGGAAGGCAGACACCACTGGTTGTCTACTCAGAAAATTTTCCTTCTTTTTTGTTAGCAGACTATCTTCCCCACCTTCCCCCACACCCATTACAATGTGCTGCAGAGGGCGCAGAGCCCATCTCCTGAAGAGCCACAAAATGTGGATTAATTAGTAATTGGTTTAGAAATAGGTATGTGATGCAAATCCAGCCTATTAGATACGAGAGTACACCTTCTGGGGGTTCTGAAGAAGGCTTTATAACTCCTTAAAAGGTACATGAGGAACAGACATAGCCTCTTCATCTCTTCCAATCTTTGGAAACTTGTGAAAGTTGGATCTTTGAAGCTGCTGTCCTTTTTGCAACCATGAGAGATTATCTGAATCAAAACACAACCCCCCGGGCGGGCCGGTTAGCTCAGTTGGTTAGAGTGCAACCTTATAACACCGATGTTGCAGGTTCAGATTTCCATACGGCCAGCCACCCCCCAAAAAAGACAACATCTTGAGAACTGCAGAGAGGAAATATGGAGTTGGACCTCTTGTTGTCTTTGAGCGGTTCATTTAACCTGCCTTCATACCTCCCTATTTTCCTGGGTGGTGTGCATGGCAAGGAGCTATTCACGTGAAGGAATAAACTATTCCAATACAGGAGGTGGAGCAGATTGCAGATAGCTTTAATACAAGTTATAAATGAGCCAAATTGTAAAATCGTAATTTCTGGCATATTTCTATCCACATAGAGTGTCAATAAACAGCCAAAGGATAAATGAAAGAGGTTTTTCTTTTTAAAATAAACCTTTTCAAAGAATAATTTTAGGTTTATAGAAAAGTCACGAAGATAGTAGAAAGTACTCATATCCCCCACACCCAGTTCCTCCATTAGTATGGTACATTTGTCACTATTATTATTATCATTATTATTTTGGCAGCTAACTAGTACAGGGTTCCGAACCTTTAACCTTGGTGTTATAACACCACATTGTAACCAGCTGAGCTAACCAGCCAATCCCACATTTGTCACTATTAATTAACTAATATTAATACATTATTATTATTAATTAAAGTTGATACACTCATTATTCAGATTTCCTTAGTTTTTAAATAATGTTCATTTCCTGTTCTAGGATCCCATCCAGGCTACCACATTACATTTATTCGTCATGTCTCCTTTATATTCCTGGCTGTGACAATTTTTGGACTTCTCTTATTTTTGATGACCTTGACAGTTTTGAGTAGTACTGTTCATGTAGTTTGTAGATTGTCCCTCTGTCGGGTTTTGTCTGATGTTTTTCTTTTTTTTTAAAAAAGATGACCGATAAGGGGATCTCAACCCTTGGCTTGGTGTTGTCAGCACCACGCTCA